CGCCACACGCCCCGCCGGCCCGGGGTTGCTGTGAGCTCGGAGGTCCCTGGCAGCAGCGCGGTGGCCTGAGGGAAAAGCCAGTGTTCTCCCTGGTTGAATACTGAGGTAATGGCAGAGGGTGGAACAGGGATCCGGGGTTTGTGGGCCCGCTGGCTCTGCAGGCTGCGTGACGCGGCCCCCTTGAAACTCATTTCCTGGTCGAGGTTTGATGCGGCGCAGGAGATGCGTCTGAAGTGTCAGAGCGCTGCTGGATAAGCCTGTTGGGGAAATAGCTGCTCCTCTGCTGCAATTTCCTCCTCAGCTTTGCAGGTCTTGAATAAACAGACCGTCTGACAGCTTCGTGTAAACAAAACCTTGGCTTTGTTTTGTAGTGTACCGGGCCGTTCCCAGGAGGTCTCCGTCACTGTCAAAAGATTCAAGGGATTTACTAAACGTGCTCTTTCTGGTTTCTAGAAAAAGCTTTTCTCTGTGCCAGAGCCGACAAGCAGCGGTGTATGTGATGACTGACTGTTGACATTGGCAGGCACGTGTGTTTTGAAAGATAACACCGGCAGCCCAGTCAGCTGATGCAAAGCGTGTAACCAGCCTGTTTGTTTCATTCCAGGGAGCTGGGATTGACAAACCCTGATGGAAGGGGGACAGGATCCTGAAGTAGTAACAGACTGTTTGCTCCCAGGCTCTGTCCGAGGGGACTGCTTACACCTCAGTGCTGTTCCCAGGTATGACACAGAGGTAATAGTGTCTCTTTCATATGCCTGAAGGCCCAGGGCTGAGCTGAGGTCTTGCTTAGCCTCACAAGCGCATCTCAGTTTTGGGAGGAGAATTGCTTTATACTTGACATATGCAGTCAAACTGTACTGTGAAATTTTTGATCTGACGGAGACTTTTTATTTTTTTTTAAAAAAAGGTGTTTTTCTCTGAACCTGGTCATCACATGGCTGCACATGTTGTTAGGCCTGTTGTGGCAATACGAGGAAGGAGGCCAGCAGAGGCAATGAGCAGAAACAGCCAATATCACAGCAGCCCGTATCAGTGCCAGCCTTAAGTTGCTGCTGTGATACCACACAGCAGCAGCTCTTCTTGCTGTAGTCTTGCCCTTGGAGGGATAGGATTGGTTGGATTTTTGGTGTGTTGTTGTTTTTTTTTTTTATCAGCCAAGGGTTTGGATGCGAATGTGCATGTGATTGGTGGTTGGGGAAATAGTTTATATAATAGTGGTAGAAAAGGTGTTTTTCTCTGAACCTGGTCATCACATGGCTGCACATGTTGTTAGGCCTGTTGTGGCAATACGAGGAAGGAGGCCAGCAGAGGCAATGAGCAGAAACAGCCAATATCACAGCAGCCCGTATCAGTGCCAGCCTTAAGTTGCTGCTGTGATACCACACAGCAGCAGCTCTTCTTGCTGTAGTCTTGCCCTTGGAGGGATAGGATTGGTTGGATTTTTGGTGTGTTGTTGTTTTTTTTTTATCAGACCAAGGATTGTCAGTTTTGTTCTCTAAAATATTCATCTACTTAAAAGTAGCACAAATAATTGAAACAGTATTTGAGGAGAGTTTGTTATGCTCTCTGTTCCTTATGCACAGATCTGTGTTGTGGGACATGAAAAGCAATGGAGTAGAGGCTTCCCTGTGAAGGGACTGTTGGGAGCACACTGTTGCGTACTTTGTTTTGCTTTCAACCCTCCATTCTCTTTTCCCTGGGAAGTTCTTGTCAATGCAGTGACTTCCCTTGTCCCTCCAAGGCAAGGCAGCAGGTCGGCTCTGGTATCACAGCCAGCATCTCCCCTCTGTTCATTAGTGAGTCAGCATTCTGCAAAGGTCAGAGGTGCAGCAGAGCTACAAGTTTTCTCAACACATAAGCACCTAAGGAATGGTGGTTTAAAAAAAACCACAAACCAAGCAACAACAAAAACCCAAACCAAGCTGCATGGGGGTATTTACCTCATTTTTCAGTACTAGTACACTTTTCTTTGGCCTCTGGCTGTAACATTCCTCAGTCATAACACCCCTGAGATTAAAGAGTGGGCCATGTTCATTTTATGGAAGAGGAAATAACTGAGAACCTGCAGGGTCCCAAACCATTGTGTGACCACTGGATCTCGTTCCTCAGTTTTATCTCTCTTTACCAACACAGCAGAAGGGTACCCCTGGTGGAGGGGGCAGCACAAATGCCTGTAGTCTGGGGTTTTTATTGCATGTAAGTAAATAAAACAGGTGAAAAAAGAAAATAACACAAAATCTCCTGGCATCCCTGTAAGAGCTAGGAATGAAATTCACATTTCATGAGAAACACTCTTGTTCTGTCTGTATTTTTTTTTTCATGAAAAGAATCACCTGTTACTTGAGTGAGGGGAAAAAAACTGATGTCTGCTCACATTGACATCACTCAATCTCATCATCAGTGCTCAGTGGACATCTAAGTGAAACTGCTGTCTGGAAGTCCCTCTGGCATAACTTGGAGTGAGGTTTGAGTCAATTCCTCCTTTGATGTTGCTAGATGTGTGAGCTGGAGTACAACACAGCTCTGCTCAGAGCCTTTACTGTGTTAGTGGAGAGTCTAAGCTGCCTGACAACCAGTTGTGACGGGTGGCCAAGGGCTAGTGGCTGAGGTCTCAGGTGGAAACTGAGGTTGTATGGGGCTCTTCCATGTCTTTCTTTGAGGTCTATGGAGAGCCCCTCTTACTGAGTCAGTGCTACTTATGCTTCGGCCCAAGAATTCCTGCTTGCTCCTCTCTGTCATTCTGTGAGCTCCTGCCCCACCAAGTTTTTGCCTTTCACTCCTGTCCTGCTCCAGGCACTTGTGTGGCTGTGCTTGGAGCTGCTGGAGTGAAATGCTTTAGTTTCATTCTCTCCAAAATAATTGCCCATTCACTGTGGGCCTTGGTGTGGAGCTGGTTGGCACCAGCCCTGCCCTGCTCTCCACCCAGCTGTGTGTTCTTCTGCAGTGGTGCTCTGGTTCAGGAAGCTCAAGAGAAGGTGTTTGGATGTGGGTATGCTTCAGCTGCAGCTTTCCAATGTGCTATGCACAACGTATACAACACAGCTGCCCTGAGGTCTTCACACTGGAAAATCCTTGCCATTCCTGTGGGGTTGAGAGTACCAAGTTTTAAGATGCTCTTTCCTTCTGCAAGTGATGAGCCAGGAAGGTTAGCTGTAACTTGTGGCATCTAGAAGTATCAATGGACAGGGATCCTGAAGAACGTATTTTCTTTTAAACTGCACACATACCCTGAAGAGTATGCAATCCATAGCTTTCTAGTGTTGAGGCCTGAATCTGTACTTCTGGGAATCCTCTAAGAATGCCAGCTTTTATGTGGAGCCCTAGTTATCCTACTTAAAGCTGAGGGCTGTTTCCTTTACATCTTTATATTTGTACTTACTTTCTTGAATGAAGTATCAATATGCTTCAGAAGCTTCTCTCAGCTCATAAAGCAGTACAAAAATGCCAGATCATTTGTGTTGACATCTGCTTGGATTTTCGTGTTCTAAAAACCCAGCTGAATTGCATTTGTGTCTCTGCAGTGGGACCATGGAAGGAAAAGAGACACCCCCAAGTTCTGACCTGAACCTTTTGGACTTGCCCTCTGTTTGTGACCTAGCTGAACACTTCATGCCTCTACACAGCTCTGAAGAGAGCAAAGAACTGTTTCATTCTGTGGATACTTTTCCCTCTCCACCCACAGGTAACAGCTTGTGCCTCTCCATGTGCTTTTCCTTTGGCCGGTGTGTTATTTGATTAGACAGTGTGTCATCTGACTGAGTAACAGCAGCCTGATGCTGGTGCATCAGAACTGCAGTCAGTTCCAGTTCCACAGGTCCAGTGTGAACTGTAAGTCTATGAGACAGGGGTGAGGAGTTGAGAGGATACTATCAGCTGCTATTGTTTTGACCACATTGTTTCTTCATGTTTATTGTGTTCTCAGAGTAAGAAAGTCACTGGAACTAACCCACACAGCAATCCTCCAGGCATCATTAGGAAATACTGTCTCAAATCAACATAGTCAGTAAGAAATGGTTTTAAACTTCTGTGTTCTTCACGTGTTCATCATGTGTCTTCCACTCAGGAGCTTAGGATGTAACTCTGTAGACAAAGTTTTAGCAGTGAATGTTTTCTTGTGCTAATGACAGGAGGTGTGATGAGAACTGCTTCAGTTCAGCTCTTGAGAGACAGCAGTTTCCTCACATGAAGGAGGACTCATTCCTGCAAAAGTAGCATTTTATGTCAGCCACTATTTCAGATTCTTAGGGGTAGTGGTGTATCTGAGAAGGTGAAGGGATAGCTGGCACATTCTCATTACTACACCCCTCAGCCCAGTCGGTGTGACTATATGGCAAGAAGTATGAAACTGAAATTCACTGGACCAGTGGCACTTCTTGCCATATATTCTAGTGGCTGGGCTGAAGGTCATAATAATTATATTTAGTATTGTAGGGGAAAATAAAATCTGACTAGCAAAAAATGTTTGGAGATGGTTTGTCAAGGCACCTGAGCAGGTGAAATGTCACTGATGATATTTCTGATGGTTTTGGAGTCTCAAGTAGTGTAAAAGTGGAGTTTAGCTCCTCTTTGTCCTCTGGCACTGGTACTGTTTACTTTGGCCCAGTTCCAAGAAATCAGCTTGGAATTAGAGATGTGGGTTTTTTCAAAAACAGGTAAGCAGTGGGATCTGCCAAACCAGTGTAGCTCTGTTTATGTTGACTACTTGCCTGTGCAGTTGTCTTCACCTCTAACTGTGGGACATTCAGAACTGTAATGAAATCTGGCATCAGTTGATACTAATCCTTGCTTGGGTTTTCGTATGCAGACCAGGAAGTCACATGTCTTATGTTATTCATGTTGCAAACCTTAAAACATGATAAATTAAACATGATTGATTTTGCTTTAGAGCAATAGTGTATCTGGGTTGAGGTTTTGCTTTATTTTTTGCACATGAGTGGTGACCACCACTGCAAGGAGTGTCCTGAGGAAGCCTTTTCCACTGCTGTGGGATAGGAGGATGGGGAAGTTCCTCTAACAGTGAGACAGGCTGAGAGGTCTTTGTCTGCTCAGATTTCACAAGCTCTTTGTCACAGGTATGAAGAAATCATGGGAGCGGTTCCTGCAGTGTGGGACAGCTTAGTTGCTCAAACACTATCTGTTGTGGTTGCTCGGGACAACTGGACTTGATTGCTCTGATAGGTGGACACAGGACACAGAAGAACTGCATGGCCACTCATCAGTCCTAAGACTGGTCTGAGGCATAGCAGAGTGACACCTGTGGAAATGAAGATTGGCAGCTCTAAACCCAAATGACAGCATTGGGCAAGTCATTGAGAGTGCATGTGTGGAATATGTAGCCTCAAGTTCAGTAACAAGGTATGCTGAGAGGCCAGATTCTGCCTCCTTGCTGTCTCCAACACCCCATGGTGTGTCACTGGGGATTCCAGGTGTGCTGAGGGCAGATCAGGCCTGTGAATGCTTTCATTCATCCCTTGCTATAGAGGCCTCTCGCAACTGAAACCACTTGGCAGTAACTGTGGGATGCATGCTATAAGTAACTGTGTAACTTGGCAGTAACTGTGGGATGCATGCTATAAAATGGTTTCATATCGTGTGCTCCTGGGAGTGAAATTACCATTACCAAACATCTCGTTTCCTTTCTTCTTGTAGCAGTATCAAACCAATATACATACTCACTTAAACGCTTATTTTTTGGTACAACTTCAACACCACTGAGTTTGGTCAGATGGCAGAAGAGGCAGGAGGATGGTTTTAAAAAATTTTTTTAAAACAAGTCTGCCTGTGTCAGATGTCCTTGGACAAGCAAGTTCTGTCAAAAATACCTTGGAAAAGGAAGCTCCATTGCTTACTTGTTTTCTCAAGAGATGTTGTAAGCTGCTGCTGTGTCACAAGATAGATTAGGAGTGTGGGGTGGCTATAACTTGCACCCTACAGTATGACCAGCAGATTGTGTCCTGGGCCTTAGGCAAAATGGGTCTTCTCATCAGACTTGAAACATTTTTATTGAGAGTGGGGATCTTCCTTAGTGATTCAAAAGCACTTCCAAGAGGCCATTAGGTCTCTGGAAATGTGACGGCTTCCTTAGCAAAGAAGCAGATGGACAGTACAAGCTGTTCCTGACATCTGTCACATGAACTGGACTGAGACTGAAATGCCATGCCATCCCAGCCTCAGGAGTTGGAAATATAGCAAAAGATAGTACCCATTGGCCATGAAAAAGAGGCCTTATGAAAGGAGACATCCCTGGACAAGGAAAAGTAGTCCTGTGGGAATGCCACTAAATGTCCATGTTATGTATAAGTAAGTGGGTTTACTATTTGTGTGGGTGTGAGGGTTCTGCTTTTGCAACAAATATGTATACTTCTGGCTTATTGTCAGAATTCAAGTGTTTAGGCAGTGATAGGCTGAGGAAATTAAATTGGATCAGTGAACTTTTTTTGTATGCTTCCTTTTGTTTTTATCCCATACCAGAAAAGAATAATTAAAAAAACATGTAATTTTAAAGTGTAATCTGTATCACTTGGTAGCACAATGCTGCTTACTTCTTTCTCTGCATTAAGAAAAGTTGCCAGCAAAAGTTTTTACCTGGCAGGAGTCAGGTGTGTGTATGTGTGTGGGTGTGCAAAGTCTTACATTTTTTGGATTAATGTTTGAAAAGTTGTTAACAATGAAATAAGTCACTGGGAGTGTTCCCTTTTCTTGTAGGGTACTCAACCAGAGCATACCAGGGACAGTGGAAACATACTCTTTGCCTGGAAAAATTGCAGCCTAAAAAAGAGTTAGAGAATAGACTACAGATGTGGTTTGGGCAGGGTTATGGGTTCTGCCCATGCTGTGCTGTCTGACAGAGCTGCGTTTGCCAGCAGAGCCCTGGAGTGATGCCACCAAGCTTGGAAACAGCGTTTGAGAGCTCAGCTGTGGCACCATGCTTGGGAGACTGCCTGTCTGAAGCATAGGCAGAGCTCAGCCCGAGCTGCTGGTGTGGCTGTTCCCTGGGGCTAGTGATCTTGGGGAGATGAGCTTGTTCAGTAGCTTCTCCCTTAATTGCCTTTGTAATGAAAAGTAGTTAAAAAGCTGTGTCCTTAGGAGGATGGATGGGTAGACAGTGGAAAAGGAAGGTATACGGAAAGTCTAATGTCACAGGAGCAGAGAAAATAGAGGAAGGATGAGAGTAGGAGAGGAAGGATGATGCTGAGGAAATGGTTTGGTGAAAGAAAAAGAGTTCTCAGTGTGATTTCTGCCTGTATCTATTTAAAAGCTGGCTAACTTAAAAAAAAAGATAATAAAAAATAATATATATATATAAAAGCCAATTTGAGAGGATAAAGGTGTTCAAGCTTCAGCTGCCTCTGCAAAAGCAGTACTAATTGTTCCTGCAATTTGCTTCAGGTTTGAGGCCAGGCTTACCTTCAGTTATTTTCCATGGACTGCCCTGACCTCTCTAATACAGTTAGAGTCCGAGGCTGTTTCTGACCTCACTCCTTATTCCTGCTTATTCTTATTCCTTAGCCCTGGTACTTTGGCGGCCACATGAGGAGTCAGCTCAGAGAACTGACCCAGCTTGCTGAGCAGCCACGTGAATGTTTGTGTGGATGAGATAGGGACAGCTGCTCTCTCTGGCAGCAGCACAGGTATATGCCAAGATACAGCTGTCTGCCACGTGTCCTGGCTTTCATGTGAGGCTACAGTCTTTGCAGAATGGTGGCTTCTGGAAAAAGTAATGTTAGAGTATCAATCACTTTTCTGATGTGGGGACCCTTTTGGTCATGGGTTTTGTAGGTTTCCTTCAAAAATAGCCTGTTTGGAAGAAGTCATGAGAGTTTGGGGGAAGTGGAGAGAACCATTTCACCAGAGACTCACTGGTTCCAGGAAAATCAGTCAGTCTGGGCCACGCACTGCTGCTGAAGTTGCTGCTCACATCAGGAGGACATTTGACCCCAAAACTATCTCAATTTAAAAATAAAAGCCATTGTGATTTTTTGACTGCTCTGGTTGCTTTTTGTTTTTTCAGTCAACTAAGCATGTATGTTAAAAAAAAGCAGACATGTCCAATCTATTAACACAGATCTCTGTTCTATAGGTGATTGTGATTTCTCTGAAAAAAATGCTACATGTACCAAGTGAATTTACATGCTTAGTTTTGCAGTGGTTTGTTTTGTGTTTTATTAGCAGCTGAGGAGTCACTTTATTGTTTGTGCATGTGTTCTGGCTTGTCCTTAAATGCTCTCTCATATTTACCATGTCCACAGCCTGTCAAGAGTTGCTTAATCTCTTCTGCAGAAGTGGGTTGTGTTTACAGAAGTCTGGCGTGGTTTGTGCTTTTGCTGTATGGGTGTTGTGCAGAAGTGCTGACGTAGAAGCTGAAAATGAAAGGAGCAGCCTGTACTTGTCACGTCAGCAGTAAACTTTCAGGGCTGGCACTTGGGGAGGTTTAGTTCAGCCCAGAAATTATTTATTCATTCAGTACTTGGTATTGAAATTATGGCTTGGCTGCCTCAGCTACAACTGTTATCAGAAGTAAAAATGCTTCCAAAAATGTTTTTTTTCTGGCCGTACTAAAGATCACCTGCAGCCTCAAGACCTTTATGCAGTCTCATTTGAGAGGTCTGTGTTAATTTTGTAAAGCCAAGACATGCGTGTATTTTAAATTACTTTCAAACAGAGCCAAGCTGAGCTAAGAGT